CAATTTCTAAGAGGATGGAATATCTGTTCCTAAATATCATTTTGGATTCTCCAGGTTTAATACGGGTTCCATATCTTAAAAGGGCTATATCTCAACTAGTATAAATACATCATTCTAAGGTTCATCTCTGGTAGCGCAGTTATCACACACTTATTCTCTTGCCTACTACTAAAGTCTTATAATATTGCTTACTATCTTGACCATTGGAGAGCCTTTGGCCACCCTTGGACCCTGGATGCTTATGGTTGCTTGCTATGTTACAAGTTAACGAGTTTTTGCATCTCCACCCTTCATGGTGGTGCGCGAATTTGGTTTCTACAAACCTTTATCCGAAAACCAATCCTCATCATCAATATTTCTCTCGTGCAAAATCCGGTCAAAACATTGCCCCCAATTTTCTTGAGCTTCGACATGCACATTGAATGGTTAAGGAAATTAATCTTCTCTAGCAGATCATCGAACGTAGCACTTTTATTTTTTGGAGTATCGGCTTGTGCAGTCGAATGTAATTTATTGATGCTTGGCGAAACAATAATATGAACCCTTTCGCCGAATTAATCACCTGGTACACCTGAATGCCTACCAACTAAAGTGGATGACCATTAAAATTGCACTTTTTTTTTACATACAACCGCTTGTTGCCCTTTTATTTTCTTAAGTATTGGCCTAAACAACCGAATAGTTAAGAAAATAAAAATTATTTTTTTAGCAAACAAAAACCAAAAGTGACCTAATTATGATGAGGATGAGGTTAATGATGCTTTATTTTGAAACGAGATTTTTGTGTGTCATCGTCTTCGGTCGGATTTTGCTTCAAGCCTTGACATGAAATAAAAAGAGTTTCTTCAAATATTCTTGATCCTTGGCTGCAAAGTAGGCCAATTATTATTCCCTCGTGTATAATCACTTCACCAATTTGACCTTGTAACTCGGATAATTGCGCCGAACAAGATTCCACCATATTGGCGTTGCCTCCAACAACCATATCGATTGACATGGTTTTCGTATGAGGCCGTGTTTTGGCCTTGGTCGTCATTGAAACATTTATTTGATAAATCACTAGTTGAATCAATTTTTGTATTTGGCTAAGAAACTTCAATTTGATATTATAGCCAACCAATTTTCGATTTCAAACAAAATAACAGGTGGCCTAACTTTTTCCTTGGCCAAATTGACAATCCTCTTAGGCGGCCTGATTGAGGCCGAAGCGAAAAATGCCTCCTAGCCTGTATTTTATCCATTGCTCTTGTATACAAAAACATAATGGAAGTCTTTCTCATCTAGCCACGTATCAAAGCGAGCTCTATCTTATTTTACCCATTTCTCTTGTAGGGTACTTGGAGCTTTCATTTTCAACATGTGGACGAAGGATTTTTGCATCTCTTCATGGGCATCAAGAATTTTTTTTTCCCTTCCCATGCTCTTGTAGACTCCTCACACTTTTAACTGTATTTCTCCAGTTGATCTTCGATCGCGTACAATTGGCTGAATTGAGCCGGACTGGAATTTAGATATATCATATGAACTTCATAGTTTTAGCATTAGGCACCACCGAGCATGTCAAAATGTTGACCTTAAAAATTACAAGACTTGTGTGATACATAGTTTAAGTAATTATTGAGCTAACTACTTCCTTCTTGTTGATGCAAATATGCCAACTTGCGACTGGGCTCGGTCAGTCAAGTAAGATGATAATGATGCTATGGTGGTGAAGCGCCCTGCTGACTTCTGCACTGATCGGCTATGGCCGAGGAAGGAACACCTCTTGACCTAGATCTAGAAACCTGAAAATTGCCTTTACTGTGAAGTTCAATAAAGCTTTGGCTTTCAATGTATCGAACACTGAGTAACCTGAGTAACACCGCACTTCGTCGAGACTCGGAGACTTGAATAAATAACCAACCGAAAGAGATGCAGTGTTGTTAATCGAAATTGAAGATACTCCTTGATCGCCTGATTATGCGGCATAGAGCATTTGAGAAGATTTTGGGTAGAGCATTTGAGTTTGTGTGTTTAGTTGAAGAGGCTCTCAACATTGCAAAACTACTTCTATTTATAGGGACAGATTTCATGATGACTAATCTTGCTGAGTTGTAAAATTATGATAATATTCCAAATCTTCGGCCTATTCTCTTAATATACTAAGAATATTCTCGGCCGAAACTCTTTCGCCGCCAAGTCTCGCCATATTCGACTAAGACTTGGAACCTAAATTAATTATGCGATTGATCCAACCTTTATCTGGAAACCAATCTTCATCCTTAATATTTCTCTCACTTATGGTTCTAAAAGACATTAGGTGCTAATCGGGAGGCAGGTTGTGGCCTAGCTCCAAGGCTGAAGCCTAAGTAGACTAGGCAAGTTTATATAAATTTTTTTATATTATATAAATAAGTGTTTTTTTTCTTATACTTAAAAAAATATAATTATACAAAAAAAAAAACATTTTTATATCTAGTAAAAGCACAACAATGGCTATTTTCAGGTCATAAACGTGGACGATAAAACCAACTAGTGGCATACCTGCCCATGTCTTTCACACAAACACATACTTTTTCCTTTTTGTATTTACAAGAAACATACAAATTAAGAGGATTCAGCGTACACGTCATAATACACTGTTATATGTAAGTTACACATCGCCTGAAAGTAAACCTTATACCTTGTTTGGTTTTTAAAATTGAATAATTCACTTTAATGTTTGTGGAACAAACATTTGAATGCTAGTTACAACATAGTTGGCAAATTGAAACCAGAGAAATGCCTTGTTAAAGTTGATTTTCTATTGGGAGCTTATCGAAAAAATCCTCCAAACTAAAAATATAGTAGCGTGGTGGAATAAAAGGATGCCAAATAATGGAAGCCCAACTTTTAACAAGAAACCGACAATAAACAATTTCATAGCCATCAAAAAACGAAATTCCAAATGTAGAAGCTTCTAAAGTTGACACATCCTTTTCCTCATCAATTGGAAAAGGCATCTCAATTTAGCACTATTCTTCCGTTTACGAGTTCCTTCTCGAAATTATGGCTTGTTTTTGTGTCATAGCTGTTTTCTCCACAATTGTGCTGAAGAAAGTTGATGTTCCACCATAAAACCAATTGGCAACATGGGGAGCATCCCAATTACTTATAAGCACCTGCAAAGTCCATTCTTTTCCCAATGTATGATTCATACTCTCATTCCTGAATGTATGGCAAATTTTCAAGCTGAACACGTGGACAACAGAAATCGAGTGACATGGAGCACATGTGGTTGCTGGGGTTCACACATGGGATAACCTACTCTTATACCATGAAGAAGTTGAAGTTCCACCACAAAACTAATTGGCAAATAGGGAGTAGCCTAATTATTTATAAGCACATGCAAGATCCCTTCTTTTCTTAATGTTGGATTCATACTCTCAGTATCCGCAATGTCTAGCTTGCATTAGAGTTTCTTATTTATGGCTATTTGGAAGATGTGTAATAAAGTAAAGTTTGATAGTAAGCCTCTTTCCTTTTCTCGCCTTTGTCATTCTACATTAGCTTGGATTAGGCAGAATTTTCACTCCTGGTCATGTACGTAGTATGTTGGATAAGCAACTTTCAGTCTCTCTTGGAATCTCGGCTAAGTCCTGTAATGCTCTCCGTTCTTGTTCTTTTGCATCCTCCTCCATTTCCTTGGGTCAAAGTGAATACGAATAGCCTTGCTAAAGGCAATTTGAGTCCTGCGGCTTATGGGATTTTTTTTAAGATTTTGTGGGTTATTTTCTTAGTGGTTTCTCCCACGCTTGGGTCATCATACATCTTTCTATTCGAAGCTTCATGCTGTCATCCTTGTTGTGGAGTTGGCTCATGCATAGGGTTGGCAAAATTGATGGCTTGAAAGTGACTCTTCTAGTGGGATATCTTGTTTTGCTTATGGTTCCTTTTCTCATCGTTGGTCGCTCTAGACTCCTTGAAAAAACTTATTTCTCGATTGCAGCACATGATTTTCTGTTGTTCTCGTACATTTCAAGAAGGAATTACAATTCTAGCAAATTAACCAATTAAGGGTTTCTCTCATCTTCACTTGTATAGGATGCCACACCTCATATGGAGATTCTTCTTTTCTGCATTCAGAGGTTTCTTTAGCATGCCGACATACAGGTTTGTCTCCCTTTCTTGGTGTGTGATTTTTTTTTACCTAATCCTTTTGGATTTTCTTGTTTTGTTTTGCAACTTGTCTTGCACATTGTTACCTTTTAGGTTTCATTTTAGAGGGTTTGGTCTTATGTTCCTCCCTCTCTTTTTCTTGTATTTTTCTTTTTCCAGAGGGGTAAGGTTTATGTCCCTCTTGATTAGGTTTTTTTTCATGTAAATAAAATTCCTTTATACCGCCAAGATTCTCCAAAAAAAAAAAAGAAAGAAAAAAAAGTAGATAGAAATGAATGCCCAATTTTTTATTTTGTCCAAGTTTTTTTTTTTGAACAAAAAATATTATCTACACTAAAGGGGATAGGGAGTAGGCTAAGTCTCATAATGAGTTAGCAATAATATGGTTCAAATTTGTCTTTGGCAAGAATCGAACCTAAGACCTCTCACTTACAAGTAAAGAAGAATATCACTAAACTGTAGTAATAAATGACAATTTTGTCCAAGTGAATAGAAGAAATAGTGATTCGGCCAACCTATCCTTCTATTCCTATCAATTGCGTACAGATTGAAAGGGAAAAATCTTCACAACTAATTCACATTCAACTTGAACAAAATCGAAAAAATAGCATCCATTTCAACCTTCGACATAATTGGAATTCAGTGAATAATCCAATAATAGCGCAAGTCAACTGTAACTCAATTAGTTAAGAATATTTGCCTTTGCATCTGATGTCCCGTGTTTAAATCCCCTCCTCATAGTTTAGATGAATTTAGTGTAAATTATCCTACTAGTTAGTTTACTAAAGATAATCCAACCCTTGTTCCTAAACCAGGCCTGAATATATATCAAATGGATTGGTAAAACATTGAAACCGAAAGTATACGCCAGAAAGCACGAAATGATATTTTACAGGTTTTCTTATCTCTTCCTTTACAAACAATAAAATGAATTCCAACAAATCCCCATCACAGTTCGATGTCAATTATTCGCATCTTCAAAGAAACCTTTTTCTTTCTTAATCCACTTAACAGAAACGTACTTTCAACTACAAACGGAACGGAACATAACCTAGTATCAGCAACTGGTGCACTTAAAAATGCTTGCAAACCATATTATGTACAGATTTTCCCAGCCCGAGGCGCACCCCCCTTGTTTACTCACTTTCAGAGTCCTCGTCATCTCCAAACGAGAAAACGGAGGCATCAGCAGCCATTGCCTTAAATTCACTTTCTGTGCTCGAAGCCTCAAGGCCTGACGCATTTCCACCACTAACAGAACTTTTAGGCTCACTAGCAGCAGCCGCCTGTTTGGAGTCCGTGTTTCCAATAGAAACTTGCTTAGTCGCATTTGTTAAACTTGAAATTTGATCTGGTTTGGTATCAGACTCGGAACTGGTGCTGGTACTGGCCACGGGTACACCTGCGGGTGGAGAAGTTGCTTCTGCTTGCCGGCTCTTAGCAGAGCCACCTTCCTCTGCCTCACTATCTGAGAACACATCATCCTTGTCTTGACTTCCGGGGCTTTTACTTTCTTGTGGAGCAGCAGCTGCACCCCCCTCATCCGAGGAAGGTTTGGTACCTGAGCTTTCATCTGGTTTCTTAGCAGAAGTTTCAGTATTAGGTGTTGTAGGAACATTGCCGCTATAATCCACTAAAACCACCTCAACCTGAAACCCTGGGGAAGGAAGTTTTCTCTGCAGAAGCCCACCATTACAGACAAGTTAACCAAATATTGATAATAAAAAATAAAAAAGGATAAGTTAACCAGTGGTTTTTAGTAAATAATAATTTATGAGAGAATGCGGGTGATGATACATGTGCCTCTGTACCAAGCATAGAAAATGGAATTTTTCAAAGAATAAGGACAAGCAGACTGAGTCCTATAAGTCACTTAGAGATATCATCTCGACTATTTGAAAGCTCCCAGCTATTTCTCGCAATCCATCACGAGTGAGATGATAAGCGCCAAAAGTACAGAAACAATAAAACGAGTGTACACCATTCTTAATGTATAATAACTTTTGTTCAGCCAATAGATCTTGTTTATCTTCAATATATAATGAATAGAAAAACTTCCCCAAGGCACTTTTTTAACATCAAAACTTCTGATCTAAACCAACCTTAAAACCCACCCCGGCATCTATTAGTTTATCCAGGTTCTGAGGCATATTGTAAAGCAAATACAATGCATATATGTTCAATGATCCTGAGTTCAAACCAAGTTCTGGGCCAACAATGATGAGTTTCCAAGGTTTTGCATTTTGTAAGTGCAAAGAATTACATGGAAACAAAATTGCATAGTAACAAAAGATATACCTTGTCAAACCCATCGAGATCATTGTTGGTTAAAACTTTTCTATTTTCCGTCATTGTTGTGTTCAGCCAGCTGGAAGTAAAAATAACAATAACAATATTAAAACATAAAAGAATCAGTTCCAAGTCACAAAGCATAAACGAATGGGAAGGAAGATTCCAAACCAGTAAAAATCTCCTTGACGATCATGAAAATGGACTTTGAAGTCCCCAGCTAACTCTGTCAAACCAAGTTCCCCTGGCAGGGCAAAGACCATTACACCCTTCTTTGGAGCAGAAAACCAATAATCTTCTGGCTGTAGATATAATGTATATCCAAAACCCAAATTAGAAAAATGACAGAAGAAAGCTGAAAATAACAAACGGAATTAAGACAGAACCATGGATGAAACTTGTATCTAACAGTTATCAAGAGAAAAACCTACCGAAAGACCTTTTGTTCTAGGATGTTCTTTTGTGGAGAAGAGAACACCTGAGGAAGTATCAAAGCAAAACTATCAGCATGATAATAAGACAATAAGCACGATATTCAAACTATGCAGACTTAAAACTCTATTTAACATGCTTTTCAAGCTTTTATGAGTTTCTGCAGGCATCAGTACGACATAGTTCAACACAATCAAAATGGATACACATGCTTCCAATTTGCATCATAGATAAACGTTGAGCTCAGCTCCAAGCCAGCTCTGAATAGGGCTATGAGCTCATAGATTATTTGGTTCTTTTACTCTCTTTTTCTTTTTTCTTTTTTTTTCTCAAACATCCAACATTCATATAATAAAATTTTCAGAGTTTTGAGGTATATTATTTACTATTTAGTAAGGAAAAAAAGGTTAAGAATCTGATGGTGTTGAGTTAAGACATCTTTTAAGATTCAACAATTGCAAATAAAGAACTAGTGCAGCGAGAGATTTCTATAGCAGATAACCCTAAGCAGACAAAGGTGATTATAACAGATGTATTTTGGGTGTGGAAAGAATCATCCTTGGACAGCATAGGAAAGTGAAGGTTGGAAACAGACAAGAGCAAGGATGCTCCAACACACCAGTATGATCAGATACAGTAATGGTGGGCCTGATCCAGTATGGGCACCTATGAAGCCGAAATCCCCTAAGCATGCACCTGCATATGATGCAAAAAAATTCTCAGTGTCAATGAGTAATATAAAATATACTACAACAGGGATATAGAGACAGAAGTATACCTGCGGCCAGGTGGGTTTTCACCGTTGAAGTATGTTAAGATACGTTCAAAATATTTAACGTACCTCTGGAAAAAAATAAAAATAAAAAGAATTAGCCAAACAGGATGATGTTAGAAAGACGAGTGAGATGCCAAGAATATGTAGTACTCGAAGACAATATAGCAAATACTACTAACAATCTGACTCGGCAGAACAAGCCCTTTTCCATCAAAGCATCGTTTCTGGTTGTAGTAGTCAATAGACTCCTCAGCGGTCGGAAAGAACTGGAGAGACGGAGAATAAGTCTAAAATAAGAACTAAGCAACATACAATAAGATACTGATACGCTAACTCATTTTTGCATGAGATTCGTCTTCACATCTTCCAAAAAAATTACTATGAAGAAACTTACTTTTAAGTATAGGAGAAGACTGGAAATCATCAGTCCTGTTCTTGCCATTCCGGCCTTGCAATGCACAACCACAACATTCTCAATATCCTCTTTCAGCCATGCATAAGCACTTCGACAAAATAATGTTATTAGATGAATTGGCGGACAATTATGGTCATCAAATGGGAAACTAGCCACCTGCAGACAAAATGATAAATCAAATATAGAAAACTGTAGGAAAACCACTATAAGGACGATTACAATTGCCGAAACAGCCCATGCAATTAGTTTAGTTTAGCCTTTAATTTTATTTTATTTCAATGGAAAGGTTATATTCGATGAAGTAACAACGCAACATTCCTTGCGTTTTATTGCAAAAAAAGTAGGCAAAGTTGATGCCAAAAACTTTAAAACTTCTATAACAGATCTGTAAGACTATAACATAAATGTGGAGTTCCATAAGAACATTGAGTTGTAACCTAACCATAAAGGACCGGTCACTTCTGTTTTTTCTAGCCTCCATAGAACTTAACCTATGGTTTTGTTCTTGAATCTTGTGAACAAAATGGATTCATCAAAAATCAAGGTAACTTTATAGGGATTCTACAAACCTAGCCTATGTTCTCAATATTCCAATACCATCAAAATTTATTTCCCTCAGCACAATACATTTATTATTAATATGATTATGCGCTAAGATCCAAATAGTACATTGTATATCAGATGTAAAATATCTCGAGCAGCCCAGGAAAAGATACTGTTTCCTATGATTAACCTCTGAATAAATGATTTCATTCTCTCAACAAATTGGAAAATAGATTGATTGTATAGTAAAATCATTAATTCAAACTGAATTGTTGTTAAATTGTTTTTCCTATGGAGGATCTACCAAAAGGGAAGTGTAAACGTTTTCTCAACGACAGGGTACTGGGGAGAGTTCTAGTTACATGCAATGATTTTTCAAGCACAATAATGAACTAGCCATGCTTGAAAGTCCGGGCTGTCACAGTTCAGATCACTAATTAGAATGGTTTAAATAAACGTCATTAACACAACCATAAGTGACAAATCATGACTCACCTTTCCTTCAAATAATGACGCGTCATAAAGCCTTTCAGAACAAAGGTTATATACTTTGTACTTGTCCTGCACATATTCCAGGGTAAGATACTCGAACATTTCTTTAAACAACAAAGTAAATCAAGAAAGGGTGCAATGCAGCCACTCCATGAGAAAGTTATGGAAAGAGTATCTAACGTCTGTTTAAACCATATGAAATAACTCAAAGCAGTTCCAGTCAGTAATAACACACTATGATTTGGCTGTGCGTGTCTGCCTAAGTGTTGAGTGATTAAAATTTATATTACCACGAAGCAACAAGATCATGAGATTCTCATTGGAAAAAGTAAGTAAAACAAAAGGTGAGTTTAGCTCAAAACTGTTTTACACACCAAAAATATATCTCCATCTCTCAAAATTTTCAGGTAGGTAATCCATATAAATAAAAAAACAATACTAATTGGAGACTGCGTGATTATCCTTAGTAAAAGGATACTAAATGCTCAAGAGAAGCACCCACTTCGAGGTAGGCAGATGAAGAGCCCTTTAAGAAAGGAGGGAGGGAGAGCAGGAGATGGGGGGAGAGAGAGAGAGAGAGAGAGAGAGAGAGAGAGTGAGACAGATTTATTAAGTGCCCAAATATACTTAGAAATGTTATCATGGGATCGCCATGAAGCAATAAGTGGAATACTCAACGAACATTAACCATTAAGAGGATTTTAATAATGCTATCCAAATAAAAATGTATATACCATCAATCAAAATCTATTATTACCTTATGATGAGTTTCAAAGAACTTAATCACTTCTTCCATATGATTTCTGTAGAACCCCTGCATTACATAATTAACTAAACTGAGTTTTCGTGATACAAAGAAATAGGATACGTTAAGGTATATAACTTGCTAACCTCAACATATCCGAAAAAACCAGAGCTCATATCACCAGCAGGGAATCCCATGGCAATTATATTCTCTGTAATATAAGTCATGTCCAGATCAAATCCTCCTTCCTGTATAAAACGCAGAAACTTGAGGTTCTACAAATGATTAAAAAAACCATATCAAGTGGAGATGTCCTGTTTAGGAATGATAGAAACCACAGGGAGAGGAAGCAAAAGTAAAGCAGTGTATGACCCCTCCACTTGACTGTAAGAAGATATAATTAAAGAAGACGACAGCAGCAAGAAATCAACAACACAGGAGACCAACCTGGTATCTACGTTTGTTTTGAGAGACAACATGCCTGGCCTTAACCTGAACAGCTTTCACTGCACTCTTAGAAGAGTCAACTATCCCCTTCGTAATTGTTCCAATAAAACCAGGTTGCAGAGTTGTTGGACTTTCATTTGAAATATCATCTGACGGTGGAGCTTTTGGAGACAAACGCAATCCTAACCCACTAGTAAAGCGTGAAAAACTCGATTGTCCACCATTCCCAGACTGAGAGCTGTCCTGCGTTGGTGCCAATGGCTGAGGAAGTTTCAGATTTTTGGCCCATGATGACAAGCCAGAAGATTGCTTGGTTGGTGCATCATGAGAATCTGATCCAGAGTCTGTGGCAGGAGGAGGTTGTGATTCGGGAGCTTTAACTGGAGGTGCAGGTGAGGAGTCAGCAGGTTCTGCATCCATCCTATTACCCCAGAGGTCGTGATGGAGAATGGGAGATTGAAAATAGTTCACAAACCCAACATACAAGATACCTTCTGTAGCTGAAATTGCAATAACAACTTCAAATACAGACATAAGAATTATTAAAAGACAAAAGAATGAATATAAAGCATGGAACTTTTCTTTCAACCAATTATATATATGAAAAAACCAGCACATGCTAATGATTTTGTGTTTTCTGTCCTCAATTTCTAGTCATTCCTATTCTGTCCATGGGATACAAACAGGAGAAAAAGCAAAATGGATTGTCAATCAGTTACAGCAGCATAAAGTTGAACCGCTACTATGTAATACCATCGTACTGATGATCCACCATTCAACTATCACTCCACAAATTCATATGACAAGAAAGACCACAAGAAGAAAAAAGACACGACCCAAGTTGCTCTGAAGATGTAAAAATATCTTAACTATAAAATAAATCTATGTCAGAAACAAAAAGGGATTGCAATTAGAAGAAAAAAAAAACAAAAAAAACATAACAAATATCAAATCTTACAGGGTTCTCCCCAAATTTAAACAACCGCTTCATAGCTGCTACATTTCCAAGAGTTATTGCCCTCCCCAAACCAACCGCCAAAACCCAAGCCTATTATTCTTCAAATAAGAACCATTGCTTCATTGCTTGGTACAACCACAGTCTAACACCATCGCCCTTCGAAAACTTAAACCGAATCAAAATAAACTTCAGCTTATCATCCCTCATAGACAATGTTGTCAATTCAAGCACAGAAATTCCTAAATTTATTGCAATTTCAGATTATTTCGTATATTTAAATTACCAAACAATCAGATTCTTTCGGATAATTAAAACTGAAAGATCACAAACTCGGCAACAAAAATACAGAGAGACAAACTGAATCGCAAAAAAAATGAAATAAATTGAAAATACTAACTAAGAACAAGAAAACGGGAGATAATTGAGAAATTAAAGGAAACTGAGATCGACGAATAGGATCCAATCTCACCGAGATGAACAGCCCCGAGAATTTAGAAGCGTCGAGGATCTCACACCAGTGAACTCATAGCCTGTCTAGGGTTTGGGAGGGAGGGAGCGAGAGACAGGGAGGGAGAGTATGTTGGTAATCAGGAGGGTTTGCAAGGTCTTTGCGTTGTATCATTTTCACGTGCTTTGGGTTTGGGTCAACGTGATCGACGGTGGTGATCTGGGTTTGACTGTCTGATATGGATGAGGATCTTCGGTTAGATCGTCATCTCTAAGGGAATTAAACGGTAGGATGAGCGTTGCGTTTTTGTATTTTCATTGTTTCTCTTGTTTTAAATTCGTAATTAAAATGAAAATAATTGAATTGAGGGAGAGTTGAATTGAGAAAGAGACAAAATCAGATTATTGTTAAAGTTGTTTATCTAAAATTTTTGAATTTGGAGTAGAAATAGTAAAAATTCTATATAAGTTGGTTACTAATTCACTTGAATTAGAATGAGAATTAATATGATTACTGAAATACCTTGTACAAAAATACTAATTATATAAGGGAAATTGACATATATGGGCCATTTTTGACACGTCCAATCCTGATATTCTCCAAACATCAAGGCAGACACGTGCTGGCCTATACCCGAATGTGACTAAGCCATATTAGGATGCATGAGAAATAATAAATATAGACAATACTTATAAATTTAAATAAAATGATTATGCAATTATGGAACGTTTTCAGAGCATACAACTAATCTTAAGCACTAAAAATGAATAATATAAAATTGAATGAACAAAGAGATGGGTCCTACACCGAGAGGACTCGAAGATGCCGATGCGAGAGTGCATTGACGCCGAGATTGTACGCCTCGAATCTAAGTCCTGAGGGGGCGCAAAACAAAATATGAGCGGACCAAGTTGATATATAAGTAGTAATAAAACAGTTAATCTTCCGGCCGAAAACATATATCGTATATAATGTGCTTAGTAGTAGTAGCAAAAGGCATATATATATATATATATATAAACATATATCTTCATTCTCCTAAAGGCACAACATCTCCCGACCGAAGCCAATATAAATATCTTCCGGCCAAAACTATCTACAAATGCCCAGTCGAAGCCAATAGTAGCAAAAGGCATATATATTTATATATATATATATATATACACACACATATATATACACACACATATGTCTTCATTTGCCTAAAGGTACAACATCTCTCGACCGAAGCTATTTACAAATGCCCAGCCGAAACCAATATAAATATCTTTCGCCCGTAGGCACCAACCAAACACCCAGCCGAAGCCAATCTTATATCTCTCGCCTGTAGGCATCAACCAAATGCCCCGCCAAAGCCAATATAAATATCAATCGACCTGTAGGCCCCAACATCACCCACCGAAGCCATATATAGATATCATTTGAAAACCTACTAAATAAGTACATAAACATAAACATAATATTTCTAATATATATATATATAACTATCTTAATCAGAGTTTAGTAGCTAAAACGTCATATCGGAAAACCACATTCACAAGTGTGTATATATTCATCAATCATATATACCACAAGGAACGTAAAGTCGATAAAGTATGGTATTCCAAAATATTCTCAGTAAAGTATGCTATCTCATAAAGTGTAAATCTAATTTACTCATAAACGTTTCATAAAACGTAACCATTGAATCATGCTTTTCATGTATGCATTTCTAATAGTAAAATATGCATTTTAGAATGGGTCTACTCACAGATACTTCGCTGTTGAAGAGCCATGCAAACTAGATAGGATGGAAACGCCATAAACAATTGCACCTAAGCACATAAAGGTACCAATTAATAAAACTATATCATAACGATTGAATTTCGGGAAACATACGTCATAAATGAATTCAAGACGTTGAAAAACAAGAGGGGAGACCTTGGGTACCCCCACGCGCCGCCACGGGGTGGCAGCCCCAACAACCACACGCCACCACGCTCTATTTTGGGTCACCAGAAAAGTCGATGACGTCGCCGTGGATGACGGCAGAGAACACAATACCTCCGGTGGAGGCACGTGTTCTCCACGCACCGGCCAAGACAGGCGCCCATGCGCCACTAACACGCTGGCCAGGGTTTAGGATCCGATTGGGTCAGGGCTGAATTCGGGTTGGGCCGAGGGTTTTGGGCCACATGGTTGGGCCTGGGCAACTGGCCCTGGTTCCCAGTTGGGTTTTGGGCTTGGGTTATTTCTGGGTTGGGCTGGATAGTTGGGCCGGTTCCATGGCCCAACGATTTGGGCCAAACAAAGGTTGTGGATCGAGTTTTGACTCGTTTTCAGGCCGTGTTGCCCAAGCTTGACGACGAAGGAAATCAGAGCTTTCCAAGCTCCATTTAACCCCCTAAACCTAACTAAAACAAGTTATGCAATATAGCAAATTGAAGCCCAAGGAACAAGGAAGAGATTTGTACCAATTTCAAGATGTAAGGTGGCCGAAGTTGGCCAAAAAACACTCTGAAACCCATATATTCCTGCTGAAAACTAGGGAAGGTCTTCCCGAGGTGTTCTTCATCCAAAAACCACAAAACACCAGTCAAAGGCGTCTCAAAATCACTCATAAACATGATCAAAGAGGTTCTAGGAGCTTACCATGATCGAGGGTTCGCCGAAGGAGGAAGTCGTTGTTCCAGAAGGTTATGGGTTCAAAGGCTGGTATCTGTTGAGGATTTTCCTTCCTCCGTGGAGATGGAGACTTGGTGCATTCATGTAAGTATGTATGGGTGTGTATATATGTATGTTGTTTTCAGAGAGGAGAGGGAGAGCGCACAGAGAATAGAGAGAGAGGTCCGAGAGTTCTTAATGGGGAAGGGAGGGAAGAAAGAAAAATAAGGGAGGTAAGGGATTTGGGCCAGGGGACAAAATCAAGGGTGGGCCCTCTTGGGCACACTATTTCAGACCAAAAAGTAATAATTCAAACAAATATTCCACAACCTAAGTAAAATTACCAAATTACCCCTTCGATTAGCCAAAACCGGGACGGGTTGTTACAATCTACCCTCATTAAAAAAATTTCGTCCAGAAAATTGGAATAACGTACTATACATAAATAATCGAAGATAGGAAAGAATATATGTATAAAGAAGAAATCAAGTCAAAGTGGTTGCATCAAAGAGAATATGTCACACCGTCACAAGCAGGTTGCAAAATCCTTTTTAATGCCTCCAAGCTCTTACTTTCTTCCCCTATCAGCATAATAGTAAAAATACACTTTATAAAGATATAAAGTCGAAATTGTATAATAATGTATGGTAAAAAATATGTACGTAGTAAGATAACGTCAAAATATATATGTTTTAACATAGTTATCGAAAATTAGTACTGAACTTAAAACTGAAAGTGGCAAAGACTCAACCGAACATTTGTAACGTCAAAAAAGACAATATATATAACTAATATAAGGTAAAACAAAATACTCGTTGTGGACATCGAAATTTCGGTGAAATGAATGTTGACCAATAATTAAAATTTCAACACTCACGTGTCACATAAATTTTACATGTAGCGTGTGACTCAACGAAAAATCGAAATAAATTGGAAAAGTCATCAAATAGGACACATGTCATTACCTGGCAGAAATGATTTATTTCATCTGATTATTTAAATCCAAAAATCAAGTTTTGGAATTCTATAAATAGGAAGCCAAGGCATTCATTTTGGAGGAAAAAGAAAGGAAGAAAAGAAAGAAAGAAGGGAATTTACATCACACCAAAACCTTGAAGCCTTGAAACTCTAAAGCTCTCAAGCAAATCCTGAAGGATCAAGAAAACACTCTTCATTCTTCGTCAAATCCTCCTTCAAGATCAAGCCCCAACGGCCCTTGAAGAACTTCCGCCGACTCAAGATCAAGCCCCGACGGCCCCTTGAAGAAAGTGTTCATCATCCGTTCGTCCTAAGATCAAGCCCCAACGGCCCTTTGGATCAACAACCTCAACAAATCCACACATCCAATCAGTCTTCAAGATTAGGCCCAAAAGCCCTTGAAGATCCGCTCATCCATCAACCCTCAAGATCAAGCCCCGACGGCCCCTTGAAGAAATCCATACACCCAGTCTTCAAGATTAGGCCCAAAAGCCCTTGAAGATCCGCTCATCCATCAACCTTCAAGATCAAGCCCAAAAGCCCTCGAAGATCCGTTCATCAACTGTTCATCCCTAGATCAAGCCCCGACGGCCCTTTGGATCAACAGCTCATCCACAAACCTACACCCTACGAAGATAGAATCAGAGGATCAAATTACAAAGAGATTGTAACCCCAAAAATCATTAAACACAAAATATATTTTGTGCACGTATTCTTGTTTCTTGTTTCAGGAATTTTTCGTGTTTACAAATTTGGCACGCCCAGTGGGACCATCTCTACCTCTCATCTCTGTCTCCGTTCAAGATATTCAAGCACAGTCCATGGCTTCAAACAAAGAACAAGTCATGACTATCGGCACTACCTCCATTGAAAGACAGCTGGTTCAGATGAAGGAAACAATTGCAAGGCTGATAAAGACTGCAGAGGAGAAAAACTTGCAAACCGCCGGACTCATCAACCGTCTGGAGGCACAGCATGGCGTCAAAGTGAAACCAAGCTCTCTTCCAACTAAAAGGACCGAAGAAGGCTTCAACCCAAATGCCTACGAACTCATGTCAAAGGCTAGACATGACTTTGCTTCCTCTTCAAATCTTGGAAAGAAGGTTTCAAACACCGTCAACGACAAAGATCGCGACCTCACCGAAACTCAAAAGAAGTTGAAGGAGCATGATCATGGAGTTGACAACAACAAGGCTGGACTTGGCTTCACACTAAATGCACCCGTGAAGATTTCAAGCAAAGTGAAGAAAGCTAGCGCTCAACACATCAGCGTGAGCATTGAACAAGACCAAGAAGAGCCTAAACCCTCCCCTCGGACGTCGGTCTTCGATAGGATGAGCCATTCAAGCTCCAGAACTTCAGTGCTTAATCGCATTGGTGGTCAAGACCGAACCTCTGTCTTCAAGAGGCTTAACGCGCCGACATCCCAAAGCTCTGTTTTTGAAAGGTTGTTAAAGCCTAAGAAACAAAGCAACACAGCTATCTCTCCTCCGCAACGATCAGCTTCAGAAAGATTTGGAAAGAGGAAGACAACACCAAAGGAAGAAAAGCT